GTTTCTTTCTTTTTCTCTGCCCATATTCCTTCCTTCCTTTCTAGTGGAATAAAATAAATCTACTGATGTATAAAGAACAAAAACTATTTCCTCTACAATTTCTTCCGATCATTCTCAGTGTTTGAATTCATTTCGAAGAAGTTTGTTGAAAATCTGCATACGCACACAGAGAAAAAAATACAGGGCGCCCACTATTATAGCCTTGTGCCAGTCTAAACTAGACTACTAGTATTATAATTACATTCGTGAGAAAGAAAGCCGATCTACAAGTGACGTACGTATGATGTATCGTTTTTTAGATATTGTTTGAAACAATTTATAAACCATTGATTCCTAACTCAATAGGTTTTGTTTTCAAATGTTTTACTAATATTGTTGGATATTTTCCCGCTCATTACCTGAACATAGCCTCGTTTTCATTTTAACTCCAAATAACTTTTCATCACTTTTCTCTACAGCTGTGTTTCTCAACTGATAGTTGTTCCACTAGAAACAGTGATAGGTTAATACATTTTTGAGTAATTTTTGTTTCATTTTATGAAACAATATTTTACTATAGACGCACGACATGTTGTTGGGAAATCCTCGGTTATTATAATAAAGACGTCAATCTTTTATATTATTTAAACTTATAATAATCATAGGGAATGTATTTAGCGATGTCCGTATGGAGGCAGTGTGAAACCGCTTTCAATGGTGAATGGACAGGGCCTGCACGTGTCGGATTTGTGTATCATTGAGTGACTCACTCAAGTACAGGACACATGCACGTTGACCACAGATTATATTTACCACGTGAACTCGGATAAAAATATGATGGATATTAATAATAGTATTTAATCATTTTTTATATAGGGGTTCCGTGAGACATGAGAACTATTTCAAGGGTGGTACAAGCGTAAACAGATTGAGAAACGTTGCTTGAGAGTCTGTTCTTGGTTACTTTCTAAAATTATTTAATCCGTAAAAAGATTGTTTTCCAATAATTTAATGAAAGTCATAGCAAAATCGATCTTTATCCGCCTGCCGACTATTTACAAATCCAGTTTACACTAAACTTAGATTATGACAGGATTAAAACGCTTACGTCTTCTCAAGTATGGAAATGAAGGTGTTTGTCAAAACAGAGTGCCTGTAAGTCCCGAAGACATGCCTGTCCCACAGTTTCGTCACGTTAGGCATTGTTACTTTGGTATCTAGAACAGAGTTGATTGTCCAACGCCCAACCGGTTTTGGATACATATATATATATATATATATATATATATATATATATATATATATATATATATATATATATATATATATATATAAAAAGTGATTTGTACCCGTAGAAGTGAAACATAGATTTAAATAAAACTTACGTCATGTTATACCTTAGGTACCTTTCGACCAACACTTTTTTCAAAGCTATACGTTGGCAAATTGGAAAACAATCAAATTCGTTATAGTGAGCGTGTCTTTGATTGTTTTCCAATATACAAACAAAGTGTTGGGCGAAAGGTACTGTTAAAACATGGCGTAAGTTTTATTTAAATCCATATCTATCTATCTATCTATCTATATATATATATATATATATATATATATATATATATATATATATATATAGATAGATAGATAGATAGATAGATAGATATGAACAGACCTATATATATATATATATATATATATATATATATATATATATATAGATATAGATAGATAGATAGATAGTTACATACATACATATGAACAGACCAATATATATATATATATTATAAATTAATTGATTTAAAATATGGGTTTTTTTCGCTACACAGTTCCAACCATGTTTCAAAAATAGAAGCTAAAAACCCCGAATTTAATTTTGCAATTAAATTAAAAGCATTAGTTCCATTTTATCTTCAAGCGAATTTTGGAGTAACTTTTAAAAATTACCGGGTTTTAAAGACACAGCTAAAATCACGTTTCCATGGTTACAGAATATTCTACTTAAATTGAACAAGGATTTTCCTTATGTCAGTATCATTGTATCAGTTATTAGCTACAATTTGGTAAGGGGTAGGGACGTATTTTTCAATGAAACCTGACATCAGTTGAATGGATGTCATCTGGATTTTTAAAAAAAAAAAATTATTGTTAACGGTAAAAACTTTCAACATCATTTTTTTTTCCTTTATAAATTTAAAGATTTTCGGGGTTTTTTTCATAATACTTTTTTATTTAACTACGATTTGAAATATCTTACTGTTCTTTCTTTTATTTATATACATATATATATATATATATATATATATATATATATATATATATATATATATATATATATATATATATATATATATATATATATATATATCAGTCTGTTTATAACTATTCTGTCTATATATCTATCTCTGAGACAAAAAAACTATAACATATAATAAAAATAAAAATAAAAAATTAATTTTATGTTATCTACCGAGATAGATAGATATATATATATATATATATATATATATATATATATATATATATATATATATATATATATATATATATATATATATATATATATATATATATATATATATATATATATATATATATATATATATATATATATATATATATATATATATATATCGGTCTGTTCATTCTATGCATTTATGCTATCTATCTATCTATCTATATATATATATATATATATATATATATATATATATATATATTTTTTTATCCATTATCAGTATTCTTTTATTCTATTTTTTTATCCATAATCAATATTTTTTTATTCTATTCTTTTAGATATTACATATATATTACATTCGTATCCAGTTTTAAAAAAAAATAACACTTGGAACACTATGTCTAATGTATCTAATATACTTGTATATGTCTAACATTAGGCAAATGAATGACAAAGTAGAAAAAAATTATGTGTTTCGTCCTTTAGGACTTCATCAGAGTAAATTTTACACAGAATTTTTTCCACTTTGTCTTTCATTTGTCAAACATTCTTCTGATCTATAGAAATTGATATTTCATATTTTCCCATATATTTAATATATTTGTATGTATCTAAAATCTAAAATGTTTATAATTAAACTGAAGTAAATTGTTAAACATAATATATTAAACAGAAATTCTTATAAATGTGTTTCATTAACTCTGGGTATTGCATATTTTGGAAATATTTTTCCAAGTTAATACAGATGCCTTTAAAAAAAAAAATCTAATCAAAATTTTAAAATCAAGCTAAAATACTTTTGTCAAAACCAGACAGATGTAAAATCTCAGAATAAATTTTGACTAACAGGAATTTTCTAGCCATTTAAAAATAAATAACCCATTTTAAGAACGTTGGTGTAATGGATAGCGGCTCTGACTGAGGACTCGGAGAGCCAAGTTCGAATTCTAATCGAATCCATTACATTCACTTACGTGCTAATACCCTTGGGAAAGGTATGAATCCTCTTCTTCTCCCCCTAGCTGTGGGTAAATAGCAGGACAGACCGAGTTCTATAGCCTTGGATGGCAACTGGTCTACCGCAGAAAGAAATGGCAAACTACTGCTGGAAAAATCTGCTTCTGACTGACTGACTTGGTGAAGAAAATTTACTCATGACAAACCAATCAAATTCTGGAATAGATATTGCAGACAAAAATGAAATAATTTATATAGACATTTAAAGTGTTTGTTTAAAGAGGCCTGAGTGTCATAGTTTAACAGAAATTTAGAGTAAAGAAGTCCCAGGGCTTAATAGAAATTTAGAGAAAAGAAGCTGTGGAGAGCTATGATTTCCCACACTCTGAAAGGATATGTTGCTTAAAAGAAGAAGGGTCCCTCTTTTCATTTACTTTGCCGCAATTCTCCGGCTTCGTTTTGATTGCAAAGGTCATTAAAAGACTCATGAGTAAATCAGGTCCTTAAGGTCAGTTCGTGTTTACTGGATCGGATGAGTTATAAAGTTTTCATGTCGAGATCTCGCTAGGTGCCATCTGTGAACGAAGAGAGACCCAAGGCAAAACCGGAAGAAAGAGACGTGCTTGTGACCAGCCAATTGGTTGACAAGTTGAAGGTGTGAAAGGAACCGTCTGACACGATTGGTTAGCAGTAAGTCTTGGGTTACAATCCAGCCGACATCTAGGCGATCGTGGGTGGGTGGGATTTGGCCGAGAAGCAGTTTAATTAGTTGTAAACCGCTAATTAAGATCAGGTAACCTTAATAAGGTGAGATAATGTCGCCTATCGGGGTGAAAGGTAATGGCGGAAAAGAAAGAGAAAGGTAAAAGTGATAAGAAATATCTGAGACGAGGAGAAAGACAAGAGATTTAAATAAGTACAGCCCAAATTTAATAAAAGATAAAAGTAACCCCGAAAAGCATTCTTAATAATAATTTGAATTAAAGGCGGAAACATTACGGGTTTTTACAACATCCGCATTATCAAAGTCTTGATGGATTAAAAAGTTTCTGGATTAACGGGTTTACTGGATTTTCATTGTTAACGGATTTCCGGATTAACAATGTTTTATACTTTATATATATTGCTTTATATATGTACTAGCAGTATTACCCGGCATTGCCTGGGTTTATTCAAAAAAAGATCACGAATCTCATCCAATCTGTAAAGTTAAAGAAGATTTTTCTTTCGTGCCTCTTATCTATATGGTGAAAAATTCTAATGACATGAAGTGTGAAAACATTTATAACAGGAGAAAGTTGTTTTTTTACAGAAGCACAGAAGATACAAAAAAATTGTCAGCAAATGTAGAGTACATTAATCGCAATTGATCTACGAAAATTGTTGGGGAGAAAGGTTTTGTTGACAGCTTTTGCTCAAACTACATCGAATGAACAACATGCATTGGAAGGAGAAGAAATTCAACAAATCTCAATATGTACTGAAATCTTCGTTGAAATTGGGGAATACTGCTTCAAAATACACTTGAAAAGCAATTGAAGCATCAAGGGGTTTATAGGGTCATCCTGGGGGCCTCTTTATGTATTTTCAAAAATCTGACAACTGATTTCTA